TTGAAATTGTAACTACCATGTTACCAATCTTGTGATGAGCCCTTTTCAAGTTCTTTATCATCATATTCTATTAAACATAGTACCCAAGAAATGTTGAGTATTCTCCAGGAAATCACAAAATTTACTTTTGAAAAGTGGATTAGGAATTGTGGTTTCGCTTTAGTAGGGAAAACCGTGATATGATTGGATATTTTTATAGAGCATTACACTTTCTTCTTGTTTAGAATAAGCTATTTATGGTGTAGCTTTAATGAAATTGTCTGATATACTATTCTTACATTGTAGACTGACTGCATTGCTAGAATCCTCATGAGGATGGTATGGTGCTTGGATGGATTCTGCTTCCTGTTTAAGGTTTTGTTTTATATTTCCCTTCTTCAATGGATATCTGATATATCCTTAATCAAATAATCTGTAAATAAGTTTTTTCTTAAATCATTTTGCTTCAGAGCTTTTAATTTTCCATTGTCTTGCAGGGAAGGTTTGATAGCGGCGGGTTAAATGTAAGCATAAAACCAAATAAATATGTTCATTTTCTTTCTTTTGAAAATATGGTGCTACTTTTCTTAATTTGGCTTGTGCTAGAATGTTGACCATTGGATACTTGAAAGAGGAAGGGAATTCTTAAAAAAGACTTCTTGAGCATTTTTAAGCACATACTATCATCCTTTCTCTGTCAGATCCCACCTAAATTGTTATATAGAAAATATCTATGTTCTTTCCACTTTCATAATTAATTTGAGTTGGAATTGCACTACCTTGTAGGGTATTGATGTTTTGAATGGCATAGCATGGGATCGCAACAAAAGCCGCATTTTTGGTAATAGATTTTGTCCTTGCTCCAAATTATCATTATTATCATATATTGATGCCTGATTTTTGGTGCATGTGTGAACACTGTTGAGTGGAAAAAGGAAACCTAATAAATCCTCTTAGATAGATATATGATTACAACAGGCTGAAGTCCTGGAATCTATTTAATTTAATGAAATTTGTTCTAACTATGGATTTAGCAACACAAATATTGTTTATTATCCTGCTTAAGCATATGATTATTACTTCTATGTCTTTTGTAGTCTATATGCTGGCATCCATTCTCTCTCTACTCTAGCCAGAGCACATTTTTGGTTTTACTGTCTTCTTTTACCACCGTAACCTGAACCATATTCTCATTGATGCAGTTACTGGAGTTCTTGTGGCCAAATTGTTTGATTTGTTTTTACCCAACTGTAGTTGATTGGTGCTGCGAAATACCCACGTTTCTTGCCTGCCTTTCATGCATCCCATCATCTAGTACAGAATCTCCTTTCTTTTCAACAGATATATTCATCATAATAAAAATGATGATTGATATAGTTGCCTCAAAATTTAATCTACAATTTGATTGGTATGTCCTTCGGTATTTTAAAAGTGGTCAATCGTCATATTCATATTACTCATAGTCTCGCACATTGTTTCTTCTACTTGTATGTTATCCTAATGTCTGTTTAACGACTCCATAGTATCTGCCTTTCCAAAAACTATAGTCTTATTTGCAATGTTAGGAAATGTGAATGGCTTGGTTATTATAATATAGGCAAAAAGTTTCCTACATCAAAGTTGTGTGATATAAACAGTATCTTGAAATATTGGTTTGGATTGTCCATGTACACTCCTAACTCACTCTCTTGTAGTTACCGGTAAACTGTGGCCGAAGCTTTATGAGATCAAATACATCCGATGAAGAAGCCACAGCAGGACAAGGGTGCCCATATCATTGAGAAGCTTTGCATGTTGGATGGGCGATTATAGATATGCAGTTTTGCACTGATATATTCCCCCTGTATATCCAGCTAATTGCACAGGACATGTAGTCGAGATGGAGAAATCTTCCTGATGATTCGGATCAGTTGTAGTTTTTTGTGTACTACTTCACTGCCTGTACTATAGCTTCCGCGATATACAAACAATACAAATGAGAAGAGAAGACACTAATTAGAAAGGTTAATGAGTTTTAGGAAGTACTGTGAACCTTGTATTTGATATTTGATCTTACAGTTTAATATGGAGCTAGTAGAATTCTTTCTCTGTTTCTCTAATTTCTTTGGACGAAATCTGTAACATTAATAAGATCCAAAATACACACAATGATTTAGGCATATGGGTGGTAATTTTCACTGTTTTCATCACATTTTACGTAAAGATATCTTTAATTTGACAAATTCTTAGCAAGGTCTAGGATTTGTTTGGTCGCAATCTTAATAAAGAATTTAGAAATTAGTATTCAAGTTGAAAGTATATAATGCATAATTAGCATCGAATACTATTGTTTAGTTTTCAAAATTAGTGAAAACATGTCTGTTAAATGTTAGAGAAATTCTAATATTTTAGGGTGCGTGATTCAATATTGGATAGGATTTTGGGGATAGGATTATGGAATAGGATTTGCAGAATATGTGTTTGGTTGAGTATTTTGACCTGATATCTGTGTGAATATTGATTAATATATTTTTTTATAAATGACTTATTAATATAATATTTGTTTGAATTTGTTAAAATAATGATATTATTATATAACTTATCAAGTTACATTTTAATAATACTAAATATTTATTGGTAATTTTGTCACCCGTAGATATAAAAAACAAAAACCATATTAATTTCAAGTACTAATCAAACTGTAAAACATCACATTAATACATATATCACAAAAGTACTAACTATCAACCCTTACAATCATTATTACACGTATACTTCATTAACAACTATGACATGGTCCACTGTTCTGCCCATAGTGCATTCGTTATGTTATCCCGTACAGTTGTCATGTGTTTCTAAATACCTTGTTGCAGTTGACGCGGTCCTTCTCCATTTCGCCCAATATTTGCCCCGTTTTGACGATCACCATATACTTGCTCATTACCTGTACTATTATTGGTTTGTTCGAAGATACGGTCGTCCATATTGTACATTCTGATAAATTATGAAATACACAATATGCCATAACAATCTTCCCTGTTTGTCCAACGGGTAATTATTCATTCATTTAGAATACGGAAACGTCTTTTCAAAAACACCAACGGTTCTCTCGATAACATTGCGGAGTGAAGCAGTCTATAGTTAAACAACTCGTGGCCCCATCGGTTACAGCGGTAATCAGAAATATGGTAAGCCAATCGCCTATGAAGGGCGAGGAACCCATCTCTATTTGGATAACCTGCATCAACCAAATATACATAATAATATTAGACATTTTATGAATTACAAGGCCTCAACAGTGGAGATAATACGCTATAATACGTCAAGAAAATATTACCTGGTGGAGAATGTGGGAATCTCAAATTAGGATCATCAATAATTGAATTTAAAACTCTTGAATCATGCGCAGATCCTTCCCATCCAGTAACGACATAAGTGAACATCATCTTAAAGTCGCATACAACCATTACATTCTATGATACGATCCTTTGCGATTTTGGTACCTATCGGCAAATTCATGTGGAATTGAAGTGTATACATGTGTGCCATCCATGGCTCCAATACAGTCTTATAATGAAAATTGAATTTTACTCATATTAACCTATTATAAAATTTATACACAATGAACTTAACTATCTAAATAGCAAACATAATGAACCAGTACCTTAAAGAAAGGGTAATATTTTCTATTGGCTGATATTTCCCATGGAACATCATTGAAGTCAGGTGGTCTGATAAACTCGTCTTCAACACATATAGCGTTGCAAACTATGGAACATGTCTAGAAAAAAAGATCGTTCTCATATTGATTCATTTTTAGGCATGTTGAAAGCTTTAAATGAAACAGGCTTTTGCAGAATAATGAATTGTATCCAATTGCAGTATCATATTTATTACAAGTTCTCGTTGAATGTTAAAATTAAAAACCTAGGTTTTACTCGGGCTTTCAATGCTTTATGCAAAGTTTAAGGCAAAAGAAGAAAAGTCTTTCTTCTTTTGGCTTCCTGGCAGAGAAAAGAAGCTCTGTAGTAAACCAAGAAAGCTATACCTACTTGCCTATTTGCGGACGCGGGCGTCCAAAGATGATTTTTTTTTTTTTTTTTTTATTATGGATGGGTGTCCTTTATTTGCGGACATCTATCCAAAATTAAGGAACGGTCGTCCATAATTGATGAATGGACGTCTTTTAATTTTTAAAAATTTTTTAAAACCATTGTTAATGGACGGACATCCATTACCATATGAACGCCTGTCCATTAATTTTGTTTATAAAAATTTTATTATTTAAATGTTGGACGAACGTCCATTATATGTGGACGCCCCTCCTTTTTATGGGACGGCCATCCCCAAGTTATGGACAATCGTCTCTTAATTTTGTTTATATTTTTTATTCTATTTATTGATGAACGGACGTCTTTTAAATGGAGATGCCCGTCCATAGTACATGGACTCCCGTTCATATAATATAGACGGGAGTCCATGTAAGTGAACGACCGTCCATAGTTGATGAACGGCCGTTCAGTGGAAAAAAAAATTTGAACGTGAAATATGTCTGTTGTGAGTCACGAGCCATGTAAGTCGATGTAGAATCCTAGTGTCTGTAGCATTATTGAAAGAAAAAACCTAATTAAGTTTGATTTGAGAAAAATAGTATAAAATAAAAAACCTAATTAAGTTTGAAATTAGGAAAAATAAACCTAATTTTCAAACAAAAAATTTCAAATTACAGTTTTAGAAAAAAAAACAAAGGGCTTAGGAAATTGAGAAAAATAATTCTTTAATATATGGGGTGTATTCAGAGAATAAATGTCCTCTTTGGTAATTTCAAATTTAAAAGAAATATATTTTAATAATTTGTTGGAACTTAAAAAAGAGATTTTGTGGGAATGAGTAAAACCGCTCTTATTTTGTATTTTTTAAATGAAAAAAAATCAAGAAAATGAGAAAAAAATCAATTAGACACTGACTGTTTTATTTTAAAAATAAATAAATAAAAAATATCGCTGCTGTCTGTTGAGTGTTGACATTTCTTAACGTGAATATGTTTCAAATAGATTTGAAGTTTGTTTAGTAGGTGAGAAAGTGGGGCCTAGACTCTCGGCGGTTTTGGCGACTTACTGAATTGTCTCTACCTTAATCGTCCTTGATGAAACCATTTGATCATGGCGAGCAGATCAAATAAAAAGAAATTCAATAAGCGATTTAATTATAACTCCAACCCGAATCTCTCTACGTCGTCGTTTTCTTCTTCTTCATGCATGGATTCTTCTCATTTGGTTCGATTCAGTTACAGAAGAACCCCTGCAGCAGTCTTAATCTTTCTAATCGTTTGTGGTATGGTTGCCTTAAGCATTTCGTCTGAGATGTGGAGTAAGTTTGTCCGACATGGTGATTACTGGCCCAACATTTACTCCATTCAAGTTGTCAACGAGTTTCCTCATGATCCCAGAGCCTTTACTCAGGTAATTACTTATTTTGATTTTAACATTTAACGATTTCTATGAAGTTACTAGAATGGCCTGTTAATAATCAGGAACTCATATTGAAAAGGTGATTGATGTTAAGTTTGGAATTTGTAGCAATGGGAAACCCTTAGCGAATTGGTACCGCGTGAATTGCTGCTTCTTTTGTTCCAATTTCGATGCTACCTCGTGAATTTCTGTTTCCTTTGTTTCCATTTTTAATGCTAATTTTTTTGGATCCAAAGGAATACATTGAGGGAACGAATTGAGTATGTTGGCATGGAATTTGAACATAGGATTGGAATTGGAACACCTTAAGAAACGAAAAATAGACATGGGCTTCTATAGTTCCACTTATTCAAGTTGAGATTCTAATTCCATGGTACAATACAAAATATAAGAATAACTCAGTTATCATGCAGAGGGCATTATTCCTTTCTCTGTAAATTGCTTATATTTTTATGGAATCAGTTAACATTCTGCTTGTTTGCTTTCAGGGGCTTCTATATGTTGACGATGATACCTTATTTGAGTCAACTGGTCTTTATGGGATGGTAAGTTTGCTCTCCTTGTTTATATACATATTACTAGTAGTTTGTACGTTTTGAGCAAATTGATACCTTTCCGATCTTGTTATATGTTGCATATTATGCTTTCTTCATTGCTGAACTACTGTTTAATAACTCACCTTTGACCTTTTTACTCTTCTGTTACAGTCATCTGTTCGGAGAGTAGCTCTCAAGACTGGGAAGGTATAGATACCATATCCTTAAATTCTTATACTGACTTCTTTAAATGGAATCTTTCTTTTCATCTACATCTTTTCTCCATCATGTTAAACGAATGATGTAAATAGTTCGAGATGAGCTATTCTATATTGTCTCTTATATAAACTGATGGCATAATATCTCTATACGAGTGATTGATGTAGTATCATATCGTGCTAAATCCAATTGACTAATCACTTTCTTGTGCTTAGATGTAATGTTGTGACAAGGTAAACTATATAATTGTTAACGAAGCATCTATTGTGTTTGCTGTATGCAGGCTGAGGCTTTCCAAAAGATGGATGATTCATATTTCGGGGAGGGCTTAACTCTTTTTGGGGAAAGGTGTGTGTAGAACCAAACATATTGATTAGGTTTATTCTGCTTTTTTCACACAATTCTGCTTCATTCTAAATTATAAGCAGCTTTGTTCTGCTGTGAGCTAAGCTTTGTAGGTTCGATGACCACTTTCCAAAAATAATGTGGGATATATCTGACATTCAAAAACTTTAAAAGCTTGAAAATAGCTTATTAGAATAGCCTGAATTTTGTGTTTTTCTTAGTAGACGTAAAACAACTTATTTTATTACTAATAAGCTTTTCTTGGGTGGTGACCAAATAATCCATGTCTATTTACTAATCTGTGCTGTATGGTATTCATCTTGCACGATCTTGCTTTTCTCATGATTGTTGTTCAATTTTGTCTTCATTCAGTTACATCATACTTGTAGCGCCTGTAGCATTTAAACAGTAACAATGCTAATATATTAATTTCTCATTTTCTTTTGTAGGCTATTCCAAGTAACTTGGTTGAAGCAAAAAGGTTTCATATATGATCGATATAATTTAAGCAAAGTTTGTTCTCATCCTTTTTCTGCTATAATTGGTTCTTTGTCATGGTTGTTAAGTAGTTATCCTCTTGATTTAGCGAAAGATAGAAGTCAATGAATACAAGTGAATTCCATGTTTCTATAAACTCATAAATTCCACACACTACAAATGAGTCCCCCTTCTGTGTTTGTATTTGAATGTATATGCACACATCTTGTTATGGAGATTCTGATTTGTTTTTATCTTTTCTTGAAATAATTTAACTTCTGAAATGGCTAATTTCCATAGGTCGGACCTAAAATTCAACTCAGAACTTTGAGGAAGTCTGACATGAATAATGTTAATTGTGAATATGACTTTGTAATTTGTTGGAATAGTTTCTAAAATTATATCAAAATAATCAGCGTTTTTGTCAAGTGGAAATCTGTTGTTGTTGTTGTTGTTGTGTGTTTTTTTTTTTTTTTTTTAAATAGTTAATGAGTGTTACCTCTTAGGTAATAAAATAAATGGGATCTTGCAATATGCTATTTTGAATTCCTAAACAAAGATGATTTTATGCTTTCCTCCTTGGATTGGAATCCAATTTTTGAACTAATTTTGTTCTTTTCTGCATGTGTCAATTGGGTGATTGTAGAGAGTATCATCTTCAAAAACAGCATAACTTTTTTAGCTGTGTCTTCTTATGTCATCCAAGTCTAATTTTTTGGTTGAAATGATGTTTTGTCTTTGCCACAATGTGCAAGCTAGATTTTGCTTCTCCTTTGATATTTTGTTTTGAAATTAGGTGCATTTGTCTTATAGTGCTTATTTGATTGCTAGTCTGATCTGTAATATTTTTCATATGTTGTACACATTGCAGCTTGAGGAATTTAATCATCAGATGAAAGATGGTTGGGGGCTTGCTACTGACGGAAAAGTTCTGTTTGGAAGTGATGGTTCTTCAACATTGTACCAAATTGACCCTCAAACATTTAAAGGTTTCTCTTATATTCAACAGTTAGTGCCGATTTTTTTTTTTTTTTTAATAATTTTGAATATACATATTGTCTCTTGACTGTTGTATTGGAACAAATAAACTGGTTTGTAATCCTACGGAGTTACTTAGACTTCTGGTACTATCATAGCCTTCACTTTTTTCAACCGACCTTTTAGTTGCACACTAGGCAATAGTTTGTGGTTTGATCTTTATTTTCTGATTGTATTTATGTTGATTCATTTACTTTATTGTTGAATTTGAGTTGCTTTTGATGCAGTTATCAGAAAAAATGTTGTCAAATACAAAGGTAGAGAAATACGGAACCTCAATGAACTAGAGTTCATAAATGGTGAAGTTTGGGCAAATGTTTGGATGGTATGCCCTTGCCTATGCATTCTTTATTTGCAAGCTCTTTATNTTAGTGCCGATTTTTTTTTTTTTTTTAATAATTTTGAATATACATATTGTCTCTTGACTGTTGTATTGGAACAAATAAACTGGTTTGTAATCCTACGGAGTTACTTAGACTTCTGGTACTATCATAGCCTTCACTTTTTTCAACCGACCTTTTAGTTGCACACTAGGCAATAGTTTGTGGTTTGATCTTTATTTTCTGATTGTATTTATGTTGATTCATTTACTTTATTGTTGAATTTGAGTTGCTTTTGATGCAGTTATCAGAAAAAATGTTGTCAAATACAAAGGTAGAGAAATACGGAACCTCAATGAACTAGAGTTCATAAATGGTGAAGTTTGGGCAAATGTTTGGATGGTATGCCCTTGCCTATGCATTCTTTATTTGCAAGCTCTTTATGATCAGAAATTTCCATCCATTTGGAGAAGGCATTGGCATTAGTCCAAAACGAGAGAAAGAAAGGACCAGAGAGATGGAGGGCTTAGAATATTAATTGCTTGCTGGCATGCAGCACAAAAGAAACCAAAGAAAGACAGGCCATTAATTTATGAAGCATAAATATCAAATGAGGAATATTAATATGGTGGAGTCTAGATATATAATGTGAAGTTCTTGAATAAGTACAATGGTGAGGATAGGCTTGAAATTGTAACCTACCATGTTTACCAATCTTATGTGATGAGCCCTTTTCAAGTTCTTTATCATCATATTCTATTAAACATAGTACCCAAGAAATGTTGAGTATTCTCCAGGAAATCACAAAATTTACTTTTGAAATTGAGTATTAGGAATTGTGGTTTGCCTTTAGTAAGGAAAACCGTGATATGATTGGATATTTTTATAGAGCATTACACTTTCTTCTTGTTTAGAATAAGCTATTTATGGTGTAGCTTTAATGAAATTGTCTGATATTTACTATTTCTTACATTGTAGACTGACTGCATTGCTAGAATCTCTCATGAGGATGGTATGGTGCTTGGATGGATTCTGCTTCCTAGTTTAAGGTTTTGTTTTATATTTCCCTTCTTCTAATGGATTATCTGATAATATCCTTAATCAAATAATCTGTAAATAAGCTTTTTTCTTAAATCATTTTGCTTCAGAGCTTTTAATTTTCCATTTTGTCTTGCAGGGAAGGTTTAATAGCAGCCGGGTATAATGTAAGCATAAAACCAAATATAATATGTTCATTTTCTTTTCTTTTGAAAATATGGTGCTACTTTTTCTTAATTTGGCTTGTGCTAGAATGTTGACCATCTGGATACTTGAAAGAGGAAGGGAATTCTTAAAAAAGAATTCTTGAGCATTTTTAAGCACTACTATCATCCTTTCTCTGTCAGATCCCACCTAAATTGTTATATAGAAAATATCTATGTTCTTTCACTTTCATAATTAATTTGAGTTGGAATTGCACTACCTTGTAGGGTATTGATGTTTTGAATGGCATAGCATGGGATCGCAACAAAAGCCGCATTTTTGGTAATAGATTTTGTGTCCTTGCTCCAAATTATCATTATTATCATATATTTGATGCCTGATTTTAGGTGCATGTTGAACACTGTTGAGTGGAAAAAGGAACCTAATAAATCCTCATTTAGATAGATATATTGATTACAACAGGCTGAAGTGCTGGAATCTATTTAATTTAATGAATATTTGTTCTAACTATTGGATTTAGCAACACAAATATTGTTTTATTATCCTGCTTAAGCATATGATTATTACTTCTATGTCTTTTGTAATCTATATGCTGGCATCCATTCTCTCTCTACTCTAGCCAGAGCACATTTTTTGGTTTTACTGTCTTCTTTTACCACTGTAACCTGAACCATATTCCTCATTGATGCAGTTACTGGTATTTAGTTCTTGTGGCCAAATTGTTTGATTTGGTTTTTACCCAACTTGTAGTTGATTGGTGCTGCGAAATACCCACCGTTTCTTGCCTGCCTTTCATGCATCCCATCATCTAGTACAAGATCTCCTTTCTTTTTCAACAGATATATTCATCATAATAAAAATGATGATTGATATAGTTGCCTCAAAATTTAATATACAATTTGATTGGTATGTCCTTCGGTATTTTAAAAGTGGTCAATCGTCATATTCATATTACTCATAGTCTCGCACATTGTTTCTTCTACTTGTATGTTATCCCTTAATGTCTGTTTTAACGACTCCATAGTATCTGCCTTTCCAAAATCTATAGTCTTATTTGCAATGTTAGGAAATGTGAATGGCTTTGGTTATTATAATTTATAGGCAAAAATGTTTCCTACATCAAAGTTTGTGTGATATATAACAGTATCTTGAAATATTGGTTTTGGATTGTCCATGTACACCTCCTAACTCTACTCTCTTGTAGTTACCGGTAAACTGTGGCCGAAGCTTTATGAGATCAAATTACGTCCGGTGAAGAAGCCACAGCAGGACAAGGGTGCCCATATCATTGAGAAGCTTTGCATGTTGGATGGGCGATTATAGATATTGCAGTTTTGCACTGATATATTCCCCCCCTGTATATCCAGCTAATTGCACAGGACATGTAGTCGAGATGGAGAAATCTTCCCTGATGATTCGGATCAGTTGTAGTTTTTTGTGTACTACTTCACTGCCTGTACTATAGCTTCCGCGATATACAAACAATACAAATGAGAAGAGAAGACACTAATTAGAAAGGTTAAATGAGTTTTAGGAAGTACTGTGAACCTTGTATTTGATATTTGATCTTACAGTTTAATATGCTAGCTAGTAGAATTCTTTCTCTGTTTCTCTAATTTCTTTGGACGAAATCTGTAACATTAATAAGATCCAAAATACACACAATGATTTAGGCATATGGGTGGTAATTTTCACTGTTTTCATCACATTATACGTAAAGATATCTTTAATTTGACAAATTCTTAGCAAGGTCTAGAATTTGTTTGGTCTGCAATCTTAATATAAGATTTTAGAAATTAGTATTCAAGTTGAAAGTATATAATGCATAATTTAGCATCGAATACTATTGTTTAGTTTTCAAAATTAGTGAAAACATGTCTGTTAAATGTTAGAGAAATTTTCTAATATTTTAGAAACTTAAGAAATCATGAAGGAATCAAACACCAGACACGTTGTTCTGATCAAGCAGTGATCCTCCGTTTATTAGCATATTTTTCACACCCATCTCTCTAGTGTCAACCACATAAAGCAGATAAAATAAATTAAAGGAACATGTATTCAATAAAATTACAAAGATAATTATATGGGTTAAAACAATTAGAACAAATGTGGTATAATTGTTTTAGTGAATATTTGATGAACGAAGGATACGTTAATAACCCTATATGCCCATGCATTTTTATACCATTGTGACAGTATACGTCGATAACATGAACTTAATTGAGACTCTTGAAAAGCTCACAAAAGCTGTTAAGTACTTAAAAAAAGAATTCGAAATGAAGGATTTAGGGAAAACAAAATATTGTTTTGGCTTGCAGATTAAACATTGTTCAAACGAAATACTGCTCCATTAGTCAAATTATATTAAAAAGATCCTACAACGCTTTAATATCAATAAAGCTAACCCCTTGAGTACCCCAATAGTTTTTCGGTCTCTTGATCCTAAAAATGATCAATTTCGTCTTAAAGAAGACGACGGAAAGATAATGGGTCCTAAAGTACCATATCTAAATGCAATAGGTACATTTTTATATTTTGGCACAATGTACGAGACCATACATAGCATTTGTAGTAAATCTGTTGGCAAGATTTAACTTTACACCAACTCGCTGAAATTGGAATGAGATCAAATATATCTTTCGTTATCTCAGTTGAACAAAAGAATTGAGATTATTTTATTTAAAGAAATTTGTTAATGATCCTAAATTAGTTAGCTATACAAATGCTAGATACCTTTCTGATCCCCATAAAGTCTGCTCGCAGACGAGATATGTTTTTACATACAATGGCACTGCAATATTATGGTGCTCTACAAAACAAACATTGGTTGCCACTTCTTCCAATCACTTCGACATTCTTGCGCTTCATGAAGCCACCCCAGAATGCATATGGTTAAGATTTGTTATCCATCATATCGAGAATACTTGCAAGTTACCATGTATCTCGGATACTCCTACAATTATAAATGAAGACAGTACAACTTGTATTGCTTAAGTTAGAGGAGGATATATCAAAGGCGACAGGAGTAAACATATTTCACCGAAGTTCTTTTACACTCACGAACTTCAGCAAAATCAAGAGATCAAAGTCAAACAAATAATCTCTAGTGACAATCTTGTAGATTTATTTACTACCTTACCAACATCAACATTTGAAAAGTTAGTGTATGACATTGATATGCGGCGGCTAAATAAGTTACTAAATTAATTTTGCTATAATGAGGTGAGCATTGACCAAGAGGAGCATCGATTATGGGTGATTTTTTAAGGGTTTATTGTATTGGATATATGTGCATTGTACTATTTTTCCCTTGATCAAGTTTTGTCCCACTGGGTTTCTTGACAAGGTTTTTAACGTCCAACGTCACTTTACATTTTCATTATAGATTTGTGATTGGAACCCTATCAAATTAAAACAAAACTAGCAACAAACAATCCAAGAATTGCACAAGAAAAGACAAATCAAATCTGAAAATAACCAATACTGTATTGAATCAGATAATTGATAATGAGAAATGGTTTCAATAGCGCAAAAATAACTAAGAACATATAATTCCCAGCAATTCGAGGAGCTGGGGACCTCCCTTAATGACCTTTGTAAAATTATGTCTAACCTCTCCCTAAACGCACCTCCCTTTATATGCTAATCCACTCAACTAAATATTCCTTCTATTAACAACTTGATTCCCTTAACATGTGAATGTTACCCAACCAACTGCCATTAGCACCCGTGCACCTTACACACCCATCACCCTATTGCCTTTATTTCCTTTATGCCATTTCTATTGATATACTTTACTAATGGGAGGCCTATCAATCCCCCCTTCTTTTGAAGAGCCACTTTGTCCTCAAGGTGGAATTGTAGTTGATGATGTCATACGCTTCCGAAGAAGCTTCAAAGGGAGCTAAGTCTTTTCATTTAATGAGGACCTCCTTAGAGCCACCTAATAAAGTGCGGATTGCCAACACGGATTCTGGTTGCACAATGAGTTCCAAGTCCTCAGTTATAAACGAGGGAAGTGGCTAGATAGGGACAAAAGTGTGCAGGCTGCGTTTGAGTTGAGATATGTGAAAAACGGGATGAATCTTAGCTGTAGGTGGTAACTCCAGTTTGTATGCAACCTGTCCAATCCTCTCTAAGATGGTAAAAGGACCATAAAATTGTGGACTCAACTTTTTGTTTAATTTTCTGGCCAAAGACTTAAATTGATATGGTTGGAGCTTCAAAAACACCTGATCTCCTGGTTGAAAAGTGACATCCCGGCGGTGTAAGTCAATGTTTTCCTTCATGTGTCCCTAGGCTATAATCAAGTTATGCTTAAGCTCATCCAACATGGAATTGCACTCAACCATTTGCTGATTTACCTCTTCAACCGATGATGGAAAATCTGTAAACTTGAGTAAAGTGAGTGGATCTTTGTCGTATAAAGCTTTAAAAAGTGACATTTTGGTTAAGCAGTGGTACATAGTATTATACCCGAATTCTGCCTAGGCCAGCCACCGTGGCCACTGCTTAGGTTGAGTGCTACAAAAACATCTTAAGTGAGCTTCCAAACACCGATTCACTACCTTCGTTTGACCATCAGTTTGAGGGTGATAAGCAAAGCTGAATTTTAATATGGTGCCTGCTGCCTTGAAGAGTTCTTGCCAAAATGGTTAAGAAACACTCTATCCCTGTCCGATACAATTGACTTTGGAAAACCATGAAGCTTAACAATGTTTGAAATAAACACAGCAACCACCTCCTTGGCACTATGGGGGTGACACAAGGGCATGAAATGACTATATTTCGCGAGTCGATCCACCACCACCATGATAGTGTCCTACCCTTTGGCTTTGGGTAAGCCTCCAATGAAATCCATACTAACATCCTCAAACTAGGGGTGGGAGAAATTATCCGAAAATCGATCTGAACTAAAAATTGAACCAAAACTGGATCGAAAATCCGGTTTCTTAGCAAACCAGTTTGGTTTGTGAAAATTGGAAAACTGAAAAATCGGTTCAGTTTTCAATTAAGGGGTATTCCCAAACCGGTTAACCGAAACCAGTTTCTAAAACCGGTTTTAAGTTGAAAAACCCTAGGTATATAAAGAAAAGGAGTTTTAGAAAAAAATATATTTGTATTTTAGTTAAACTCCAAATCTAGAGTCTCCATGGCCAACGCCACCCACCACCCATTCACCCAACCCATCAATGAACCTGTCTCATCGATGAACAGTGACAAAACCTGGTGACTAGCACGACAGTAAGACCACGACTCCACCTCCACGAACATCCAGTAATCCACTGTCGATTTAGCAAGGTAAGCTAAAAATATGGGTCTTGGTGGCTGGTGCTCCCGAAGAGTTTGCAGCTGAAAATGCGCTTTAGTTCTTCAATTCTTCCTTTTCATTTTTATACAAATAGTAATTATGGCCATGCACACATGTGGATAAGAGTCACTTATCAAACATCTTGTCTTCGTTTTCTTCAAATTGAAACTGGAGTGGGTTCATGTATGTAGTTGGCTTTAGTAAAGTTCGATGATTGCTATAGCTGGTCCATGTTTCCATTTATCTTCTCCTTGGTTTCTGTTTGCTTTAAGTTGATTTAAAAGTTGAGTTTTACTAATATTTGCATCGCACTTTGGCCTTCAAAATCCTTCTTTAGATCTTGAGAAGGTTTGTTTCTAGTATGTAATAAATGTCTGAATTTGGTGACTAAAATGTAAAAAATGTAGAATTCAGGGTTGAATTGGAAATCTTGTTTGAAAACCGGTTAATCGGATAACCGAACCGAATATTCGGTTCTGTTTGAATTCGGTTGATACCATAAATCGATCCAGTTTCGATTTAGCTTTTTGCCAAAACTAAATAACCGGTTCGGTTTTCGGTTTACCCAATCCAGTTCGGTTAATCGGATTATCCCACCCCTACCTCAAACACCTGTGTAGGAATGGGCAAAGGTTGGAGAATACCTACTGGTTTAAGAGTAGAATGCTTGTTTAACTGACAAATGGAGCACTTCTACACATAGTCTTGAACATCCCTCTTAATCCCTTCCCAAAATACTATATTACTCACCCTTAAATAAGTCCTAAAAAAGCCTGAATGCCTTCCCCCTAGACTGCCGTGGAACTCTTCTAACAACTTAGAAATGAATTTAGAAGATTTTGGTAATAATAACCGATTTTTGTAGAGGAGGCAACCTAGGTGAAGACAATAGGAAGATCGACTGGTTGGATCAAAAAGGAGGTCTTGGATGATGTTTTGAAGCTTGGGATCCTGTTGTGCTTCAGACGCTAGGTCATCAAAGTCTGAAAATTTCACCACAGAAATGGCAACCATCTCAGTCCCTTCTTCTCTTTTGGATAGGGTGTCAACAACCTGGTTAGAGCTGCCAGGTTGATAATGTATTTCAAATGAAAACCCAGGAGCTTGGCAATCCACTTTTGTTGCTCTAGTGTCTTTACTCTTTGATCTGTCAGAAACTGCAAACTTCGCAGGTCTATTTTAATAATGAATTTACGCCCGATAAGGAATGCGGCTCCATTTATAGACGACAAACACGATTGCCATGAGTTCTCTCTTATACACTGATTTTTGCCTTGATTGACAAGAGAAAGTTTTACTAAGAAAAGCAATTGGGTGTAGATTTTGGACCATGACAGCCCCCATGCTCAGCTTCGATGCATCGATGTGAATTCGAAAGGTACGTTAAAATCTGGGATTGCTAGGGCAAGTACCGATGTCATTGCTATTTTAAGTG